TCAAAGAGCAGTGGAGTGGCGGATGGTTGGCGCCAGCAGGCTACAGCATATTCCAAATGAAGTGCTCGGAGCCAGATCTGACGTGAAAGACATTACTGAAGCAATGTACGCCAGCAAGAAGAGGTGGGCTGGTCATGTGGCACGGATGACAGATAACAGATGGGCGAAGCGGATAATGGAATGGCACCCACGCACAGTCAAGCGAACACTGGGGAGGCCACCAGTGAGGTGGAGAGACCCCATGGTATGCCTGTACGGTACCAAGTTGACTCGGAGAGCGTAACAACGAGAAGAATTGAGAAGTTGCCAGTGCTGCATCGATGGCATGAAAACGAACGTCGATGACATACAGCTGCTCAAGTATTCAAGTAGTATAATATAATAAAATTTTTTTTTTAAAGGAGGAAGAAAAAGCTAGTGGTGCTATGAAATTAATAAAACCTTGAAATATTGTCACTCACTTTCATCTCAGCAAACAGTGAAGCTGAGAGGCTGAAACTTTGAATATGCGTTCCTACCCCGTGTGTCATCCTCCCGTTTTAATGTCTCTCCTCATACACGCCTACACCCCGCGAACGCGATCCCCTGTAGAATATATTATAGTGATAGAAAATGTTTCGATCTGTTAAGTCGTATACATTTCTTACCATTACCACAATTGGACCTCGCGTCAGTACGGCGATTTGTGGCAATTAGCATGAATTTGATTTTATTTTAAATAGTTATGTTATTGAAACGAGTATAAGCGAAGTGAGGATAAAAGTTAAGTTTGTAAATATGAAGTAAAGTTGATGTAAAATCTTACCGTCAAAGGGGTTGCTGGTTCCATATAAAGTACAGGGGGGTTTGTTTCGAACATGATAATGTTGCTTTTTCAATCTGTACTTTTTTAGGCCCTTATACGTCGCTATATTACATACAGGATGATCCTGGCAACGGTTATTACGACAAAGGCGTCATTGAATTGAATGGTACCTTTCAAGAATTTCAAGTTTTTGTATCTATTCTTAGTATCGAAAAGGAGTTCAAAGATCGAAAAGGCAAATTTTTGACTTGGGTTTTTGTGAAGCACACAGTGTTTTTCACGTATTTAGCTTTTAACTGGTTTCCCCTGTAATATTTTTCGGGATCCGGGATCCGCACTGTTCGACCCCTACAGGGCGACCTAGGATCGAAGGACCTGGCATTGCTGTGCACATTTGGCGTATGAGAACATTCTCTAGCAATATTAGTAACGCAGGGAACTGAATCGATCGTTCGGAGGATGGCTTTGATAGTCTTAATAAATTTATTAGGAATCAATTCTTCAAGTAATTTCTAGTTAGTTTTGTAGCTGTCTTTTAGTTCAGTACCCTGCATTGTCCTGGATTTACCGTTGTATTTTGACAAACTGTTAGAAAAGGATAAACTCAAGCTGTAACGCACCAGACTTGCCGGCCAATGCGATCATCTGTTTTTGTACTAAACCCGCAGTTCGCTAATAGCAGAAATGATCGCTACACTGTAGCCTAATAATTGGGCTCATATTGGCCGTGGTTTGGCCTCTTCCGGCATAAAGCAAGAGAAAGGGCGTCGGTTGGGATGAAGGTGTTACACATTATTATAGGACCGCTTGGACCTCCAGGCACATAATTACCGGTTTTTCTTCGCACCAGCAGTCGGTGCGCTGGCCAATTATGTCATTTTTGCAGGCAATCCGTATCCACCGGTAATCACACAAGAAACCGATTATTCGCATAATTTACTCAATGTTTTGCTGAGGAATGCGATTCAAAAGCAGATGGCTAATTTACAGAGGCTACAATCGAAAACTAATACAGAGAACTAGGATTCTCACCACTCTCCTTGCTTCAGTTACCCGTTACTTCAACGAGTGCCTGACAGTCTCTTCCCGGCTGTTTTGTGAATAAAGCTGTATTACGTAGTTTTATGTTGCGATTCTGATTTTCCCGCATCATTTTTTTTTTTTTTTTGTTTGAAAACCATAGGCAGATCCAGGACGGGATCCTGT